TTTCCATCTTTGTGGACAGCATTCGAGACCCTATCGACAGACTCTCGTGCTCTTCAGGAGGCCAACCGTGCGGAGCCTAACTCACGCTACATGTCAATTAGATTAGTAAGGGCGAAATAAGTTCGCATTCACTAATCTTATTGACAAGCACATAATCACACATAGGAGATCATCATCGATGTGAAGAGAGGGTCCGACAGGGCGACACCATCTCGCCCAAGCTCTTCAGCGCCTCTCTCGAGAACGTCATGCGTCAACTGGAATGGGAAGACATGGGAGTGAAGATCGACGGTCGGCAACTACACCATCTCCGCTTTGCTGACGACATCGTTTTGATAACGCCAAACATCGAGCAAGCGGAACGAATGCTGGCTGATTTCGACTGCGCGTGTGGAAAAATCGGTCTACGGCTGAATCTAACGAAGACGATGTTCATGAGAAACGGATTGGTTTCTGATGCCCCATTCACGCTCAACGGAACGACCATCTCTGAATGCTCTAGCTATGTGTACCTGGGTCGTGAAATCAATATGATGAACGACTTAGCACCAGAGCTGAGCAGGAGGAAGCGAGCGGCTTGGGGAGGAGCCTTTAAAGGCAGTTGGCACGATAAATCGCTATACAGATGTAGGATTTATACGACTGGCTTAACAGAATTCCGTGACCTCGGACAGGCGCTCCGTGGCGCCTTTTCCAAGGAGGGTACCCCTATAACGCCCTATCGAGCAACAACATTCCGTCCCAAACGCCTTCCTCGCCCGCCCACAAACGGACGACCGTTCCTGACGCTCTAATCGATTCATTTGCTAAGCAAATTATGAAGCGAAGGGATTGGTATGAAGCGGCCGTGATGCTGCATGCATATATGGGTACACATACAGGGGGGGGCAAAAAAAGTCATTCCGGCCGAGTCACATATGAGCGAAGTTTTCGCAGCCCAGACAGAGGAAGTGGATATGAGTACCAGGGCGGAAGATACCCAAGATCTTCCTCTATAAGCAGGAGCCGGCTGCCGCCATTCACCTTCATGTACACCAAAATATGAAGTCATCTCCAGTCGCGGCCTGAGTGGAGAACGCCTTTGGAATTCACGTGGCCTCCAAACAGCTGCGGAACTTCTTGAATGGAATCACCCATGGATAGCTACCTGGAGACCAGTACTCTTGATCTGCAAGACCTCAAACATCGAGCAGCTCCGGCAACGTCGCTACGGTCCAGGACATCATCTTCACCCCATTCACCAAGGCGCGGTTGATGGTGTGGACCGGCCGTACCTGGAATGGATGAACCGATATTTTCTTCGTGGGCCCCAGACTGAGGGTGTGCGCTGGTGGCTACATCGAGCAACTCGAGGAGAATATCCCATCTTCATGTCGTCGCCCGTACCTTCTTGGAAACTTTGTACTGCTACAGGATGTGACAACACATTTAATCGAAGGGCGTTGGAAAAACTTTCGCCTACTTGGAATGGAAGAACGTTGAGTACCTGGAAAAGATGGAGTATTTAAGCGGGGTCCTGAACTAAACCCCTCAATTACTCGGTTCGGGCGGAGCTCAACAGGGTGGTCTACAGTGGCGGAGAAATCAACGATCTCGCTCAACTCCGGTACCCACTCACTTTCGTCCGATAAAAATTTAATAAAGTGTAACTTATAGCGCCTTGAAAGTCATGGAGGCAAAATGACTTTTTTTGCCCCCCCCCTGTATATGCAAACCCCTGTTCCATTACCGATGATGGGGATAGCGGATACCTTGAGGATAGCGCGGAGGAGTATGGAGGCGGCACTCAGCCGCGGACCTATTCGCCTCGCCCATGGCCAGGGCCGTCCTCGGAGGTGAGTATGCAGTGTACTAAAACTGAGCACTGTTACTGGGCACAGGGAGTTTTTTAGTGAGCTTAACGAGCATAGCAGAAGCGTGCACTGAGAGGAAATGACACTATTCCTATTGCCCAAGTCACCAAATCCACTAAAAACTTGTATATAGGGGTAATTCAACATCCTGATTACGAGTATGACACTCATTCTTGGCGCTGGCGCCAAGAGAGGACACTACGATTACCTCCTGGGCTCAGCCTTAGCAGAGCGCAGGTAACCGTAGTGTCATCCATTTAGCGCCAGCGCCAAAAATGAATGTCATATTCGTGATCAGGATGTTGAATTACCCCTATATACAAGTTTTTAGCGGATTTGGTGATCTTGCCACTTTTAAAATGAGCTCGAAGACGAAATTTCTGGAGTCCAAACGGCATTAGCCGGGTACACTCGCATCGTGCAGACGACGCTTTTCACGAGCAGTATTGCGCACTATTAAATGTTACAATTTTGAGGCACGATGATGTCCGTATGCGTGGCGCACTAAAACCGCCTTGGAATCCTGCAAAAGACAAGTCTCTGATGCTTTTGCCTTCCTACCACTGCTATGGTTTCGGTAAGAAGACTTTTTTCTTCACGTAAAAGTTCATTTGAAAGATCTTCTATTCCGATAAATGTTTTGTTTTAAGCCAATCTCATGGTTGACCTATTGAAAGGGTATACGAGCGTTGTCATGAAACGCTTTCAACCGGACCTATTCTGCAAGACTATTGAACGCCATCGGGTGAGCTTCTGAAAGCTAGCGTTTAGACTTCGCTATAACGCCTACAATTGCCACAGCGCTCCAGTCTTTAGGACACGAACGCAGCGCAGATGGGAGTGGATCGGCCCCGGCTGCTTGTGTTTCGAGAAAGCATAGGATAACAGGAGGGCAGGCGCTCTCTTTACACAATCTGTTATTCCCCCCTTCTTCCACACTCACGCAGTCTAGTATCCTCCGGAAGCATTAGCGGCAAGTGCTTATCGATACTAGACTGCGTGAGTAGCCGACGCGTACCCCCCTGTTCTCCCATACTCTCTCAATACACAAGCGACAGGCGCCGATCTGTTCCGCCTGCGGCTGCGTTCGCGTCTATAGGATTGGAGCGCTGTTGCTATTGTATCGCGTTACCGCGTGTCAACGCCATCATCGTCAAGTCTGAACGCTGCCCAAGGGTATCGTCCACAAGAATAAAGGTAGTGAGCTTGTCATTTTTGGCACTGTTCATCGAAGGAGCATTCATCATCGCTCGTCAAAACTTATTTCTCTGAATGGAAATCATCTGAATGACCTGTTTCAGGATACAAAGCGAGACAAACCATGTCGTCGAGGGCACCTCTCGTCACAGGACCCAAAAAACTTGCTGTGCTAGGAGTTTCCATTGTTCAGTCCAGCATTACCGTATACCATCCTCCGCGTCCCTCTTCCCATCTTCTCTTCAAAATCTTGTCCCAGGCGATTCAAAGTCTAGACTCGCCAGCATTTCGCTCCGAACCACTTCTACCGATACAGTTGGCGATGAAAGCGTAGGGCCCGAAAGCGTTGTTGTGGAAGTGTGTTGAGCATTTCAGGCAGAACGGGACCCGGAATTCCTTGCTGGCACGCCTCCTAACTCTGTTGAGGCTAGAGCGCTCTTTCGTGGGTACTCCCTGAATATGAGTACCCTCGAAAGCCCCCCTGATATATGGTAGGCATGGCTGTTGTACATCACACAAAATGTGCGGGGCTGGGCTTTTGATGTGATATTTTGGCCCTGACACCAACTGCCAGTCAGTTTTCTGGCGAACACAGAACAAGATGGCAGTTGTCTCAAACTGAATTATTCCACGAGTAATCCATTGCTATGTCCATAGCCACGCCTACTCCATTTCGGGGATAAGGAGTATACTTCGGCATGATCTTGAACAAGAAATATGGTTTGTTTTTCGAATGCCATCGAGGGCACACCACGCAACCTCCAAAGTACGCTATCGCGCAAGGTCCGCCGAGCTCGAGAGGGGGGTGGGTGGGGCTGGAATGGGGCACTGCCCGCCCAGATATTAGGTCATCCCATTCAAAGTGGCCGATGGTTTTTTGAATAAAACAAAGAGGAGAATAGATAGAAAAGTGATATTTTAGCTTTAGGATGAGTAAATCCCTCCTTCACCAATGACCCGCTCCCAGTGCCCCGAGGGCCTTTGGACCTCTGGTACCTTCGATTTTTCAACAAGTGTGAGTAAATTGCTGTTGTTGCCAATTTCGGCAAATGACAAAACATTGTAGCGTCTGCCGTCGGAGAGTACTCTCAACTGAATAGAACAGTTGTAATCGCATGGCTTTATGACGGGCGAATGGGGCGATTGAACCCAGGTCTCAGTATTGTTTGTGTCCCAGCACTGATCTACAATACAGTTACTCGGGGTCTGGCACTATGACGAGCAACGGTGGCCTTCTTGTAGTTGTGTGGTAGCATCCATTTGTCGATCTGAATGCCGAGGAACAGGCAATATGCACCGACAGTGACGGATTTGTCTCTGTATAGAGCCGCTTGAAAGCCACAGTGTGGGAATCCTTTGCTATGATGATCATCCACTTGCGCCCACGTAACTCTTCATGGTAGAACTCGGGCGGCTTCTCATCTGCATTCATACAAAATTGACGATTGTGAGTTTCGACTCGAGGTCCGAGACCACCCATATTTCATCTAAGGCCTGGGTGCGTTTTCACAGTTGTGAGTGACATCTCATGCTGAGAATATTACTGCTAGAGGTATAGAATCGGTACTGCGTTCGTGCTTCTATAAGAAAATTGGGTACCCATGCGCACACCCCCTTGACCATCCTCAGTTTATCGGTCATAACACGTACAGTAATTGCAGCAGGGATGTCAGTCTCGCGGGGAAACCCGACAAAGGTCCAGGCTCTGTGATCAGATATTCAGTGCCTGACTTCATCCACCCGTTTTTCTTGTGCAGGATGAATATTATGGGACCATCCACGACAACAAATTTTTTCCTTTCTTCCTTGTACGGGCTCCTGAACCAAATCTTCCACCGTGTATTTCGAGAACACCCTTACACACAACTATGGTCCGACACAGGTCAAATTTGAGCAGCGCACTTTCCTCTTATGACGCCTGATTTGAAAATCCGGCGCTGATTTTCACCACTCGGGCTTCTTTTCAATTTCTCGAGAACTTCTTCTGGGGCTAGGTTCGCCAAATTTCACACAGCTTAAGGTACTAGCTTCCAAATGGTATAGTAGCCCGCTGCTCTATCCCCTTTGCTTTTCTGCCATTCCTCTATATGTAGCGGCCAGTTTGAATGGGATGACCTAATAGAAGACATGGTATGTAGTACACTGAAACATGGAATCGCAGCAGTGCACATCATGAGCTGGGGATTTTAGCCGAGTTCGTACAACCCCCTCCCTTCCTAAAAGATGGCTTGATACGACCTCCCCCTCCCTAGTCCCAACTTCTGATATGATCGAGCTTTGAGCTGTCGAGCTTTCCAACTTCCCACCACTTTTTCCCATTTCCCGAAAAATTTTCCACTTTCTTCCTATACGACTCGCCCCATTAGAACAAAAAAATCAACTATAAGAAAGAAATTCCCGCAGACCGAACCGGCCAAATACGATCCCCAGCCCTGTTGGAAAATCCCCAATGTGCTCTGTGTCGCAGGCTTCCATCGAAGTGGAAACGAACTTAAACTTGTTCTCCCTGTCGTTTATGGGAGAAAAGGACACCAGCCTGTTTAACTGTGGAGAGACCTCTCCTGTGCACGTTGCCTTTTTGAGCTGCTGATCCTTTGCTTTGCTAAAAAAATCTTAGCTGTTCAGATCCGACACATCTCTATCGCACCGCCCCTCCTAGTTTTCCTGTCAAAAAACCCAATTTGTAAGCAGTACGACCTTAGTTCACTGGAGTTTATTATGTGCGGAGCTGCACCAGCAGGGAAAGAATTGTGCGAAGAAGTGCAGGAAATGTATAAAAATATCAAATATATCTTACAAGGTATTTAGACTTTTCGAGATTTCAAATTTCTATTGAAGGAAGCATTTTCATTGTGTGCTTGATCGAAAGAAATTCAGCATACGGCATGTCTGAGGTGACGATGGCCACTCATTTACCTGACGCAATCCTTGGCGAACCTTTCGGAAGCGTCGGACAGCTCGCGTCAAATTTAGAGATGAAGGTATTGTTCATCAATTACTTGATCTTTGAGAAAGGATGCAGCTTAGGATCAAATGTTCAGTTCTGTCTGATTTCTCTAGGATGTGCCGTGTAATTCTCTCAGCACCTATGGCTCTGATTTCCCACGTCCCTGAAGTGCAGAAGCGCGGTACTCGCCGCTGAAGTGCGATGTAAAAGAAGGCCGGGTTTCTGGGTCCTGGGATTCAGTAACTTCGAAGGACACACTCGGAGTTTGCCCCTCTGGAATCACCACATCCTTCCACTTCCCTAAGACACGATTGCAAGTCGCAAATAGAGGAGTGAGGCGGAGATGGTGTAGTGGCAAGACATGGCCAACCTGGATAACTGTGGAGGGATCTTTCCAGTCCTTGGGAGCTGCTAGTTCTCTACTACAGAAAGACTTAGTAAGTCAGAACAGATAAATCTCTGCTGCACCGCCCATTCTAGTTTTTCTGTGGAAAAACCCACTTTGTTAGCAGCATGATTTCAGTTCACCCACGCGTTCGCCTGGAATGGGTCCCCCGAAGAGCGCGGCGTTAGCCAGCCACGCGCTAGCCGGGGCTATGACGGTAATTGGTACCGATTCGTCTGGAGAGGATACAAAATCTGGGAACATTTGTCTGGCCTCCAGACGAATGTGCCAAATTTTTATCCTCGTCAACGGACTACGACTACGCAGCATTCCAATGCAGTACAAGTTAAGATAAAAGTAAAGGGCGTGCCGCATCACAGAAAGGGCTTGATCAACAGCGAAGACCTTATCTGTTATCTTTCAAGTAGTGAAACGCGGAAATGCAAAAAAATGTGTTGCGCTTGGCCTACCAGTGGAAAGCAATTCAGAAAACACACAGAGACGCCTAAATAAGAGCTCTGTGGTCGATTTTGAGACAACTGAAGCCTGCGATGGTTTACACTCTCTAAGAAGCGGGGTGCGGCAGATTCAAGAACGCCGAACTCATTGTTATAGCGAAATACGAAGGACGAGCACGCACTTTGAAGGCAGTTGGCACGATGATTTGGTGCTCGGCCTAAAATGCTAGTAGGGCGCTATGTAGTGGGGAAATGGCGAAAGAACGGAGTGAAACGGTCAAAATCCTGCGAAGAAAGAGCCTCCGTTCTCACTGTGTTAGAAAATCAATTTTGGACGAGTTTCCTGTAGGCATCTTGCCAATAACCGCTACCGAAGGTACGGCTGCATATGTGTACTCATATATCCATGCAGCATCGCTTCATACCAATCCCTTCGCTTCATAATTTGCTTAGCAAATGAATCGATTAGAGCGTCAGGAACGGTCGTCCATTTGTGGGCGGGCGGGCGTGGCGGGCGTTCGGGTCGTAATGTTGTAGCTTCATAGGCCCTTATAAGGGCACCTTCCTTGGGAAAGGCGCTATGCAGCGCCTGCTCAGGGTCGCGGAATTCCGTCCTGCCAGGCGTATTAATCCTACTCGTCTTGGGGGATTTATCGTGCCAACTGCCTTTAAAGGAAACCCCGCGATTGCATGGTGTGGATAGTGGCATTCGACTACAATCCTTCGACCGCTAAATGACTTTTCAGAGAAGGAAACAGCAGAAAAAAAAATCATAGGAGAACATCCTAAGTAGGAACTCTCTGTGAACGAGTTTTCCGGACCTGCTCGTTATATGCCGATGTCCCGCCACCTATAGCTCACTACTTGTTTTTTCGCGTCACGCAAAGCTAATACTTTCTAACGGTGAAAAGAAAAAACGAAAAACGTGCTGTAAAGACTGAACTCATGAAAGAAGTTGCCTTAGAGTTTCAGGGGGCGGGACAGTTAGGAAGGCGTTACAGGTGCCACTTTTGAGGACCGCAGTGCCTTCGTTACTTTCTGTGAAGCCGTGGAAGTAGGCTAATATAAGAGTCTGAGACCACACTACTTGTACAGGAAAGGGACACCTCGTACGTGCTTGAGCGCGGGAAGTGTCTTTAAAGACAGGAGACCCACTAGCTCGCCCAGTAATAAGGCTGCGTTTATACTTTGCGGCAGCGTAGCGCTTCCAGCGTACGCCAGCGGCAGTGCCGGGGAGAGGATGCATATCGATCTAGCGTTCCCAGCGTCACCAGCGTCACTAGCGTTTGCAGCGGCAGGGGAGTAGAGACTATGGGAGAGCTGGAGGGTACAAAACACATCGATTGCGCGTCTCTCACTCGCCCTCAGTCTCTACAATACACATCGATTGCGCGTCGGGCAA